TTGTATATATAATGTGTAATTGACAAAAAATCAATCACAATATATTAGAAGTAACCTCTTGATAATAAAAAAAAGTCCTTGTCTGATATTTTGGAATAATGTATTCTTAATATTCATTAATATTGGCACTATCTTTGCTTTTATTATTTATTTTTTACCAGTTTTTATTTGTATCATTATTGCTTTACACCATAACGTTCTACGTTATCTACTATCATACACCAATATCCTACAGTACTCCTGTTTATCATACTCCTATCTATCATACTTCTACCTATCATACTCCTATCTTAATTTTATCCTCTATTATACTCCTGTCTCCTACATTACTCCTACCATACTCCTACCTTAATCATATATACTATCAAACTCTTATCTATTTACAACTTACTCCTATCATACTGATCTTAATTTCATCTTCTATCATACTCCTATCTCTGACATTACTCCTATCATACTTCTATATACTATCAAACACTTATCTATTTATTATCTTACTCCTACCTAGTACCATATTCCTACATTTCTCCGATCTGTATCTAACTACTATCAAACTCCTATTTTACTCCTGTTGCCTTTCCTACTCCTATATATTTACTTACTATCGAGTAAATATTTGACTTCTATCTATCTATCTATCTATCTATCTATCTATCTATCTATCTATCTATCTATGTCTGTTCATATGTATGTATGTATGCATGCATGCATGCATGCATGTATGTATGTATCTATCTATCTATCATAATGTTGTCGATATACTGACATTACTCCTATCTATGATACTCCTACTTACTCCTGTCTACTATCTTTTTATCTACTATGTTACTCCTTTCTCCTGCTATAATCCTATCTATCTACTAATTTACTATCTTACTCTCATATGTTTACTATATTACTCTTATCTATTATACTCCCATGATACTCCTATCTATTCTCATATTCATACCTACCAAATACCTTACTCCTACCTACATACTCCTATCTCTCTGCTATCTCATATCAACCTCCTACCTATATTTTCGCGCACCTCTGTGTACTATCATTCTACTGTCTACTTATTCTTATCTATCTATCTATCTATCTATCTATCTATCTATCTATCTATCTATCTATTATTTCACTTCTATTTGCTATTTTACTCCTATTTATCCACACTTACTCATATCTTAAATCATGCTATTTACGTAAGTAGCGTGACGTCCAAGTAGAAAGTATCTATTGATTAGATTCGAATTCATATGTTGGGAAACCATCCTTCATAGACAACACCTTAATTGTTTTGGTCGCAAAAAATTTGAAGTTAATCAGTGTCCAAAGGTGTAGTTATATTGCGAGTCCGACATCAAATTTTCACGCTATATTGTTTTTTTTTCTATTAAAAGTAAGAAGCGATAGTTTGAAATGATAAAGTATTTAGAACATATCTGTTTTTATGACAAACTTAATGTTTGGAGTTAAACGATAACGTTGCTTTAAAAAACAACAATAACAATAATAAAAAACTAGTCAAAATTACTGAATAGATTTTGAATAATTTAACGTATGAAAAAAATTTTAAACCGGATTTCTTAGTTACATTAATTTTTATTTTTTCAGATGCGTGAAACTTAACCATGGTTGATTGAAGTTTGACGATTGGTTTGGTTTGGTTTGGTTTATGCCATATCAACCTCAATGAGTTATTCAATGCTGACAAGATTTTATTGCTGGTAATATTTTTTCTTCAAAAACTTATTGCTGGTAATAATTTCCACAAAGTATTTCTGGAATTAAAATCTATTTTTATACTTTCATAGTGTTTTGATCCCACTTTTGAGGGTTAACTTTTTATCCATAGCTGGGACCCTAACAGGTGCTATCACCCCGGGTCAGGGTGGAGCTGGGAACACCAACAATTAAGAGATGACTCCTCGCTCTTCAAAACTTCCTGATCAGAGGCCTTGCTGTTGGGTGTAGTTTATCGTCTTACCCAGGACGCGGATGTAGTTTATTGTCTTACCCAGGACGCGGATGTATTTTATCGTCTTACCCAGAACGCGGATGTAGTCTATCGTCTTACCCAGGACGCGGATGTAGTTTATTGTCTTACCCAGGACGCGGATGTAGTTTATCGTCTTACCCAGGACGCGGATGTAGTTTATCGACTTTCCCAGGACGAGAAGTTCGACGAAAAACATATGCGTGCATTGACCGGAAACAATTTTTAAATTTAATTGTAATTCACAAGCCTTAGACATATTATTTCCTTCTCTTATGTGCTGTGTCCTTTCATCATGTTGGCGATCATGAGTCTCCACAATTTCTTTTCTTTTGTATCTTTTAATAGATTTTGTCTTTTTGTTATCTCTCCTAAACCTTGATCCGTCATCTATTTACTCAAACTCACTAAGTATGTTATGTGTTGTTTTCCTATGTCTCTCTTGACTTCAATCTGCCCTGTGAGTATCACATTTTCCAAGTCTTCTTTCCTCGTTATTTATTCTAAAAATTTCGACTGTCTCTTCCTAAATATGAGTGTCGTTTTTATTTCCATTTTCTCATATGTTCAGTCCATCAAATTAAGAAGGAAAATTTAAACCTACATTTAGGTTAAGGTTGCTCTGCATATCTTTATTTATAGGTAAGTAAATTATCCTTTTTAATTATTTAATAGCTGAGCTAAGATGAATAGGGACAGAATATAATTAGATTGGTAAGGACAATAAGCACAAAAGACTCTCGGGATACACGCTCTGGTTTCATCGGAAGCAACTTTTAATTCTGATTTCACGCTCATTAAGCTAAAAGGGGTGATAACAAGTAACAATAAGATGAAGAAAAACTGATTTAAAATTGTCAACGAACATAATTCAATCTCAGAATCCGTATAATTTAAGCTTGTCCGTGTCTTTCTTACGTTTACTTTTTTTTTAATAAATAATTTGACCTGTCGGTTTTCTTATCTTCTTTAGGTGAGGGCATTCGGTAGAGTTCAATTGTTGGTCTAATGATGTAGTGTGTTTTAATGATTCGCATACACACAGAGACAGATGGGAAGAGAAAAAAAGAGAGGAAAGAGAGGGAAAGAGTAAAATGATAAAAGGGAGAAAGAAATAGAAGGGGAAAGAAATAAAAAGTGAGTGTATGAGATAAATACAGAGAGGGAGAGGGAGGGAGAGAGAAAGAGAGAGAAGGGGGAAAGAACGTGAGGCAGAAACACAGAAAGAGAAAGAGAGAGGGAAAGAGTATAAGACAGTAAATGAGAGAGAAAAAGCTAGAGATATAATGAGAGAGTTAGAAAGAATAAAGAAATAAGAAAGAGAAAGAGCGAGAAAGAGAAATAGACTGAAAAGAAAAGAGAGAGAAAGCGTTAAAAAGGGAAAGAAATGAAAAAATATATATATATATATATATATATATATATATTGAACAATAAAAAAATATTAAAAATCAAAATCTTCAGACACACTCGGTTGTAGATTAATATTCTTTCGTTTTTTTTTTATTATTATTTCATTTAGATTCCTCGACTACTTTCGACCAACATGGCCATCATCGGGAGAAGAAATATTTCTGCTTGCTGGTAGCAGTAAACTACAGAAAACTCTCTCTCTATCTATCTATCTATATATATATATATATATATGTGTGTGTGTGTGAAAAGTGTGGGTATATCTGGCCTTCTTCAGTGGTTGGAATGTCGAACTGAACCCTTTATTTCGCTCACTGTTCTAGTTCCACGTGCCATGTCTAATGAATGTCAGTTATCAGTTATCTTCTGTTAAATCTCATCTCCAAGTTCTCCACCGCCTTAACCAGGTATTGAACTCACACTCTTTGGGTACTGTCACTGGATGTAACTAATGCCTTTATCCATTGTGCCATGTGTCCTTGAGGACAAATGGCACAGATACGGAAAGTGAGACAGATGAAAGAAGCCCATAACATACTTGATGGATGGTAGACCAGGGTTTGGGAGGAATAATAAAAAAACAAAACTTATTGAAAACTACAAGGGACAGGAAGATGTGGAAGGTCATGATCGCCAACGTCCTGAAAGGACAAGGTATACAAAAATATTTATATTAGCCCCCCAAAAAAAAAAAGAGACGGTATTCAGTATCCTGTTCTCCAAAAGTCATTTAATAGTAATTTCCCAGCGTAGCTGCGGCACAACGCCGAAAGAATGGGGTACCCGAGTGAGGATCGAATTCACTACTCAGTGGAAATTATTCTATCGAGACAAGCTTGTTAACCAATAACACCGTATCGAGATGCCGGAAGGCGATTTTCTAAGCGTAGCTTACATGTAGCACAAGGCCGAAAATATGCGCATCCAGTGAGGATCGAACTCACTACTGATTGGTAACTGTTTTATCGAGACAAGCTTGTTAACCATTACACCACGCCAAAGTGTCCTATCAGTCATCTAATATACTGTATAATCAATGTTTCTTTAATGTATATACATATTTTCTATGATTAATTATTGTTCTATAGATTTTCGATATTTCTATGATACAGTTAAGATGATAATTGAAGAATTTCTCATTATTTTGCATGAGTTTAAATTTGGCTACAATGCTACTCAGGACTGTCATTAACGTTAATCAAGTTTGGGTTGAAAGGACAGGACATTGTTGGTTTCTGATGTTCTGAAATAAGAGATATGTCTCTCAAAGATAAAGAGGGCAGAGGCCATTCTATCACAATGGCAAATGATCAATTGAATGAGTTAACAGAAGAACGAATAATTGCCAAATCATTTGAAACGAGACCCTAAAATTTAGAGTTTCAATTTCAACAATTTGAGAACTTTCGAAGCAAAGTGGATAATTCAAAAAGTTTACGATGTGTGGGCAGCATTAATTAAAAAAAATAATAAAAAAATCGAAAAAAAAATAATAAATGAAAAAAAAATCCAACTTCCTCTTCCTCTTCCTCTTCCTCTTCTTTTGCTGCTGCTGCTGCTTCCACTTCTTTCTCTTCCTGTTCTTTTTCTCGTGCTTCTTCTTCTGATGCTTCCTCTTTTTTCTTCTTTTTCTTCTTCTTTTTCTTCTTGCTCTTCTTCTTCTTCTTTTTCTTCTTCTTTTGCTGCTGCTGCTGCTTCTTCTTCCTCTTCCTGTTCTTCTTCTTCTTTTGCTGCTGCTGCTTCCTCTTCTTTCTCTTCCTCTTCTTCTTCTTTTTCTTATGCTTCTTATTCTTCCTCTTCCTTTTCTTCTTTTTTTGCTGCTGCTGCTTCCTCTACTTTCTTTTCCTTTTCTTCTTTTTCTTCTTCTTCTTCTTTAAAGCATGTCTTTTTGTTTCCATTTTATGTAAATCTTAATCGATGCTCACATGTTCTGTCGATGGTATTCTCAGCATCTTTCTGTAAAACCAAATCTATTTCTTTAGGTTTCATATTCAACGCTGAAGTTATTGTCTGGCATTTACTGACATATAGGAGTACTGATATTACATAATAGTTCAGTTTCTAATCCCATTTTCCTGTTTCTTAATAATTTGTTTAGCTTTTGGAAAGCATCTTTCTCTAACCTAGTGATTCCTGGAATTTGTGGGTCGTACTTTCTGTCGTCTGTTAAAACTCTTCCCAGATATTTAAACTGTTCTACTTGTTTGCATTTGTTATATCCAATTTGTAATTTGCATGTTCGACTACCCCTTTTGCTAACAACCATACATTCTCTCTTATTGCATTTGGTGTTTCTCGACGTATCTTCACTACCTTCTGTACGTGTTTCTTTAATTTTCTTTCTGTGTTTGATATAAAAATTGTGTCATCTGCATATCTTGTTGTTAAGATCGTGGTCGCCAAAAATGAATACTGGTAGAAATTTTGATTCTCCCAGAATCACGTCATTTTGTAACAGTTTTTCCAAACCGATATTGGGCCACCCCCCACTTTGGTATTTCTAAAATTCCGGTGCACCCCACCGTAATATTTAATACTTACATATTCAAAATTTTACTGCAATTCACGTGAAGGAAGCTTAAAAAGCCATTAACTTGGTCTCTAAACAAGCCTCCAAAGACCATGACGTCCATGAAAGAAAAAAATTAAAAAACAAAAGACAGTTAAAAATATATATATATATATATATATATATATATATATATATATATATATAGTTTCAAAACATACAATAGAGAATTGAAAGGCAGTAATATGAAATATTTGAATGATATAATGATGCAAAATTAAATTTGAGTTCACGTTGGTATAGTAAGCTGAAGGGCGCACATTATACACATGCCCCACCAAAATATTACCATGCCCCCACATTGGGAATCTGTTGTAATCTAGGGAAGGTTAATGAATAGAATAGTTAAACGAAGGTTGGTAAAGAACGATAATACTTAGGACAAGACCAACAAATATAAGATTCGCTAGCGGCGCGTAGAAGATGTAGTCAACTACTAGAAGTAAGCCAAGTGAATTCCATAATGAATCTCCAATTGCAGGATATCTACAAACCGCCCCACGTGGTCAGATGTGACACAAGGCCAAATTTAATATGGGGTATCCGATCCTGTAGGCATGGCCAAAAATTTCCCGTAGACATCGTATAAAACGGGGTCGAGTAGCTGTTTCCCAAGGCAAGACTCTGCCCTTCGACATAGCCTCGACTGGGGATTCTACCTGCTCGGAAGCAGAGAGTTTGACCAGCACAGCTGGAGAGGAATCTCCGACTGCAAATCAACATACTGTATTTACTACTGTATTTATATGAATGGAGACATACTCATTATCATCCGTAGGTATGCTACAACAAAATCATTGCTTTATAAGTCGAATAAATCTGGTCGGAATACACACCCTTGTCTTACGCCCCTTTCTATTTTTGTATATTTTCTATCCCGATGAATGTGGTTTTCCCTCAATATAACTTTTGCCTCATGCTAATATCCTTCCAAAATGTATCAAGCTTATTTAACAGTTCAAATAATTCTTCGTGATCTGCTTTATAAAACGCTTTTGCATAATATATCAAACGCATGTAAGCATCCTTTTCGATTTGTATTGCTCTTCCTTATATCACCCTGAACATGATTCCTTGTTCAAGTGTCTTTACAAAATCGCTTCTTGTATTTCTGGTCTAATTCGTCTGTGCAATCTTTTTATCTGAATTCAGATGGTATATTTTGTTAATGGCTGTTAGGCTGATTGTTTGCACTTGGCTTCTTATGTAGCGCTATGAAAATGCATCTACTTAGATCTTCAGGTATATCACCACTGTTATATATTTCATCATTTATGTCTGTATTTTTGTCAAGGTCGACATTAGGTAAGGCTGCCAAGCATCTCTTTCAATTCCGTCTGGCTCTGCCGCTTTGTTTTTGTTCAGTTTGGCCAGTGCTGACTTCATTTCAGATGTTTATTTTTAGATTTTGTGTTCTTAAGGAATTAGAACAATTCTTGATTAAATAGTGACTTAGGATTTAAAGAGGAACCTATGAAAGAATAGGAAGCAATTTGTACAAATTGCCTAACCCTGGTATTAACCTAAATTATTTTCTAAACGATAAGTTGCACTAACAAAAGAGATGGCCCCTGTTTTCTTCACTCTCATAAGGAAGAAATAAAACAGTTCATGATTACTGCCAAGAATTGGACGATGTGCGCAGTAAACAGTGTAAAATGTCAGTAGTATACAATGGAAGAATACCATTTCTGGTATCGGACAATATTCAAGTATGCGTTACACAAATGGCACTACAATACGTTTTCCAAATCCTTGTCTCAGATTTTTCACTTTTGCTACAAACTGGTCACCATTCTTTCAAATGCCTGGAAAAGTTTAAAAAATAAAAAAAACATATTTCCTTACAGGGAAGTTACAGAAATTGTCCTCAGAGATTTCTGGAGATTATTTAACAAGAATTCAATTGAAAAAGCATTATTTTATACCTTGTTGGTGAAAATGTAGAAGCTTAGAGGTTGATAGTTTTATATTATTTGACACACAATACGAGGGCCAAGACCTACACAAGATAAAGTGTTACTGAAGTGTATTGCAACGCTTCTCAAACTATCTGATATGGCGGACTGGCATTTTTGTTTCTCAATGTGTCACGTACCTGTAATATTTCGTGGTAATATTAATTTTATACCGGAAACGATATATTATATATGGAATATAATAAAATTTGACTATTTTTTATCTTCCATTTATTTTGCAAAAAATAATTCAATATCAAAAAATAAAAAGTAATAAAAAAAAATAAGCTTCAAATGATTCCTTACCATGGCCTGGACACTGGCTGCGTACCGGTTGTTCATATTTCGCGTACCGGCACCGGTCCGCTGACCACCATTTTGAGTAGCACTGGTATATTGCATGTGCGTAAGGAAGTGCAAAATTTGAAATTAATGGGGCTATATGGGAAATATAACGGTTAATCCTAGACTTATGGAGGTCCAGATTGTAGGGATTATGACAACATCCTGCCGGGAATTGTTACACAAAGCAGCAGTTCTTGGGGAGAAGCTGTCCGAGTGGAACTTACTTCTTACTATTAAAATACGAAAAGAATAGGGATGATTCACACTTGTCTGCGAGTTATAGTGGGTCCCGCTTGTAAAGGTCAGTGGTAGAGGGACTAATGAATGTAGCTCGTGAGAAAACATGCCATGAAAGTAACGATAATGTCATGCGTAAAAAAAAAGTGCTGGTTACTGGCCTCATCTTTGTTGTTGTCATCGCAGTGTTTCGATCGTTCTCTCAAAGTTCTTCAGGGGCTTGTCGATCAGGGTAAATTTCAGAGGAAAAAAAAACCTTCTCCTCCTCTGTTAATCCCTCTGGAAGAATCCGGGAGGAGAGACTCTGCAATATGGGAGCCCCATAATAAAGAGAATGACAGCGTGAGGCTTCAAGAGCAACAGCAGCCGCAATATATGAATAGGAGAAGCTTCGGGGATGTGCACTCAAGCGTGAAAAAACAGGGACAGTAATATCATCATGTGCTGTCTACTGGCCTCATCTTTGTTGTTGCCATCACAGTGTTTCGATCTTTCTGTCCAAACTTCTTCAGGGGCTTGTCGATCCGATTAAACTTCAGGGGATTTCGAACTGGATCTTTTACTAAATCTACGGTGGTGGAATGTTCCCGTCCATCTAAGGATGCATCAGTTAGTTTTTATTTAGTACTGCTCAGAAAGATCTCTCTGCAGTGTTCTTTACTCTTTAGACAAAGAATTAGAATTAGAATCAGCGCATATGCTAGGCTACGAAGACTTTGTTAGTAGGCGTAGCAGAAAGATATATGCAAAATAGAAGCCCGAGATTTTACCATTTCTACTCGGGCCACAGGACTATGCTGGTCTTAGCTTGGCTAACCTGGTCATAGTTGATCATAGCTTGTCTAAGCTGGTCTTATTTGATCATAGCTTGGCTAACCTGGTCTTAGTTGATCATAGCTTGTCTAAGCTGGTCTTAGTTGATCATAGCTTGGCTAACCTGGTCTTAGTTGATCATAGCTTGGCTAACCTGGTCTTAGTTGATCATAGCTTGTCTAAGCAGGTCTTAGTTGATCATAGCTTGGCTAACCTGGTCTTAGTTGATCATAGCTTGTCTAAGCTGGTCAAACTTTGTCTATCTGGTCATAGCCGATCATACATAGTAGAAGTTATCATAGTGGATTGAAATGGTGGTTCTTGACTTTGGTGATATATTTGAACTACGAGCAAGGAATAGATTTTTTTTTTAATTTTAACGGCTCCAAAACGTAACTGCTACCTTTAATCGTCTGCGAGAAGCCTTTCAAACTTCCATCAGCATGGCTGATGATAAACTCCTGGAAAGTGAGCCAATATGCCTTCTGGGATTTTCCGTTGATATGAAACCAAATGCTATGCCTGCTGCCAGCAAAGCTGGTTCACAGTGTCGTTCTAGACAATCTCTTGCCAGAATCTATCTTACAAATTTATGAATTTACCATTCGTCCATGGATTGAATATTACTGCCGCATTTGGTCTGGTGCTTCTTCTATGTATTTAGAGATTCTTAATAAAATACAAAAAAGAATCTGCAATGTTATTGGTCTCGGCCTGGCAACTCAACTTTAATCACTTCCTTACCGGTATAAAGTAGCTTCCCTCTGCCTTTTCATGCACTTTCATGGTAATTGTTCTGATGAATTTTCCTCTATGGTACTTAGACTTTGTGAAGTGTAGTACTAGATTGGCCGCTAGGTCTCATCATTTTACTGTTGAAATGACTAGATGCAACATGAAGCAGAGGATAAAGACGTGAATTACCCAAAGAGTTGTGAGTTCAATACCAGGCCACAGCAG